GAACAAGGAAGAGGAGAAAAAAGCAGAATGGACAGAGGCAGCATAGAGTACACATGTTAAGACGGCACCTTCATAACCTGAGAAAAAAAAAATGTTGCTATAACATCAGTTTGATTCACAAAGACTTCACAAACGCGGTGCCAGAGCTAGAGGTCTATTCTACAGCAAGAGAGGAGATTTAGGTAAAAATGTAATGGCAATCCAAGCCTAGTTCCTCTTTGGCCTTTTAAATGTGGCTTTTTAAAAAAAACTGGAAAAGAGATTATTTGAATTATTAAGGCAATAATAGAAAGTTCTTCTATTTATATAGGTGTAGAATGTCTACAACATCTATGTTGAATATCTACAACAGGATAGCACAAGTGGTAAAACCAGAATAATCCTAATTTGTCATGATCTGGCCTGTTTGCTCTCCCTTAATTAGTCATTCCTTTCACCTGTCGTTTTCTCCCTCCCTGCCTCATTATAATTTATTCCTCTCACCTGTTCCCTCTGGTTTATATTCAGTTCAGCCTGAGCATTCAGTGCCAGATCATTGCTTGTCTTTCTGTCAGTCTTTCTGTTCAGTTCTATTTTATGGTTCATGTCCTGGATCCTAGCTGCCAGTGGAAAGAGGATTTTAGTGTTTGTCTCGTCTCCTGATCGTCCACTGTTCCTCCCCTGTGGAGTCCTTTGGGTTTTTGGCTCATTATGGGGGGAGGTTCAGTTTTTATCCAGTAAGCCTGGCTCCGGGGAGGAGACCAGTTTAAAGTTCCGGTTCCTACGCCCTGTCTCGGCTACCCTCTTCCACTGTGCCTGCCTGTCTGCACCTGATCCTGTCTGCTCCTGTGCGTGACCATCTGGTCATGCTTCTGGTCCCAGTCAGACTCTGAACCCTCCTGGAAGCCTGTGGATGCCTGGAAGTCTGGATCCTGCCACCTGTTTCTGTTCTGGATCCCTGACCAGGATCGGCTTCCAGCATGTCCTCTGGAACTGCAGCACTGGGGACATTCGTGGTCTGGACTGTTAAACCAGAGTGTCTGAGATTGGGCGGTGCCCCGCCCCCCGCCTGCAGTGTCCGCGAGCCACAGCTCTGCTTTGTTTTGTTTTATTTAATAAACGTTTGAACTTTCCTACTGACTGTCTCTCCTTGAATACTGGGTCCATCTGTCCTCGGTTCAAGACATAATTAACTGATTATAAAAATAGTCATCATTTAATTTAGTAAATGATTAACCAATAACTGTAGATATACAGATTTTAACACATGCCGTTGACTGAAAGAGCAACCCACTTAGAGCAA